CACAAATCAGGACTTTAGACACCATTATTTTGTGCCTATCAGTACTACAGAATTACAGAATCACAGAATATTTAAGGTTGGAAGGGACCTCTAGAGATCATCTAGTCCAACCTTCCTGCTCAAGCAGGCACACCTACAGCATGTGGCACAGGGCGGCATCCAGGTGGGTTTTGAAGACCTCCAGAGTAGGAGACTCCACAACCTCCCTGGGCAGCCTGTTCCACTGCTCTGTCACCCTAACAGTAAAGAAGTTGCTCCTCACCTGGAGACGGAACTTCCTGTGCTTCAGTTTGTGGTCATTACCCCTCGTCCTGTCGCTGGCCACCAGTGACAACAGCTTGTCCCCTTCCTCCCTGCATTCTCCCTGCCTGAACTTATACATATTAATCAGATCCCCTCTGAGCCGTCTCTTCTCCAGAGAAAACAGGCCCAGCTCACTCAGCCTCTCTTCGTATGAGAGATGTTCCATTCCCTTAATCATCCTGGTTCCATTCCCTTAATCATCCTTTACTACAAAGAATGTTGTGTCCCACTGGGACTCTCCAGTGGAATCAAGATCAAGTGTCTGGTTCTCGAGTAGGTGAGATAAAAATCTGTAAAACTGTGGCTCTTGTATTTGAAAAAGAGAAAACCCTGTTACTGTTTTACAGGCCTGTTAACTGATATTGACTGTCTTGAATACTTTTATTTACCTGTTTTATTAAAAACAAGGTATTTTGAGCATTGGGAGCCTGCAGCGATTTTCTGACAGATTACTTTAAAAGGTCAATGGTCTGAGGCTATTTAGGGAGTCAAAACAATACAGAGAAATTCTTGGATCTCTCTATGATCAAACAGAGGCTAAATGGGGCAGTAAAAAGCGCCCGCAACATCTTGCACCTCAGATCCGCAATGTATTACATGGCTTTCAGTTCAGCATATGAAATGCATGTTTGCAGCATGTGACAAGCTCAGCAGCATGTGCTATCGTGTGTTTTATCAGTACACATTCTTGTGTTTTATCTGTATATTATGACGGATAAGTTTTATTTTTCTCATGGACTGGGACTGTGAAGATATTTCACATGGACTTCTCTTGACCCACTCTTCATCACTCTTCTTTAGACTAGGTTTTGTTTTTCCTTCTAATTCAGGCCATAAAGGGTTTTGTGTATTTTGTTTCTGCAGAGAGTTAAGAAAATCATATAAACACATAGCTGGAACCTGCAAATGGAACAGTATCTGTGAGTTTGCATATGATTTTGGTAGGACTTTTTCTTTCTGTTTTCCTTTCCAGTAAGGAATCAACAAGTCACACCACTGTATATGTCAGAGGGCAGCATCTGCTACTAAAAAGAATGGGAAAAATTATTAAATGCGATGGTCTAGGTGATGGAAGAGTAAGTTATCTCCAGAAGCAATAAATAATACAAACTTGTTCTCAAGAGAAGTTTTCCTGGATGTTTGAAAGTAGCCATTGATTATTGTTCATCTTTGAAAAACTAGTATTACAATTTTCTATTTATTTTTAAAAATAACTACACTTACCTGAGAAATGGATGAAATGTCAGCCCTTTTTTGGTTAGAAACAGAATGGAATTACAGTCTGTCATTGATTCTGTTCTCTTCAATGACAAGGCAGAATAACCTGCGTGTCTTTGTAAACACACTTGAGTGAAGGGATTTTTAGGAGAAGGAATAACTATTTTAATTGAAGGATGATATGAGCACTAAATGAATGACTACAAATCAGTCATGAATAATCTCAGATTTTAAATTAGAAGGGTTTTGATAAACGACATTCTGAAGATCAAAGTTCAAATGGGATAGTGTGCACAGGGTAGCAAAATTCACTTTAAGATCAAGTTTGCTAAGTATATGGAAGAGATACCAGTAGGTATTCTTTTATTTATTTATTTCGAAGCCTCATTTTCTGAATTTCTGTGTAGTTGTATCTAGTGATATCCGAAGCTTAAAAGAAAATCACTTTTGCTATTATATTCTGTTACTTCAACCCTTCTGATGTTTTCCCTTGGGATCCTTGTGGGAATGTGCTGGTTTTGTTTTCTTCTATAGCCTCTCTCAAGGGCTGGAGATCAGCAAAGGTAGCACTAAAAGTGGCATGTAGCAGAAGTGCTGGCATTTCTAAAAACTTACTACTTTGACTTCCTCTTCGAAACACACTGCTGGTGCACTCAGAGCTGATGTTTAGGGGATGGTTAAGAATATTTACCCTTTTCTCAGATTAATAGGAAGCTTCAGGTTCTCCACGCTATCAAGAATGTATCTGTTAGGGTCGCCTGAGGCATGGAGGAACAGTCTTAAGGACTGATCCAAAGTCTGTTGAGATCAATGAAATTTTCCCGCTGGTGAATGTAAATACATGTAACCTATTTAAACTATTGGAGCTACATGTACTTCTCAGAAAGCAAAAGTCAGCCTACTAATTTTCGTGGAATGTATTTGCACTTCTGTGATGACAGCTGGCTTGTCTGAGTACCAGGAGCATGTTATATATCTAGACTGGCTAGATTTTTCCTAACTTAATTATGGTATTTACCTGCTTCTTTAAGTAAATATAAACAAAAGGAAAAATTGAGATATTAAAGTGGAGAAAATATAAATAAAAGAAATATAAATAATTTCTGGAGAAATGCAGTGCACTTGATTCCTTTGGAAACAAAGGAGATACTGGTTATTTATGGAGGAAACATGTAAAGAGGGTGACTATAAGTACTGATTTTTCCTTCTTTTGGCTGCTATTTCCACAGCTCTATAAGTTGATATGTAAGTCCAGCCCTCTGGAGTGTATCAATGAAGCCAGCCTCCAATTAAGTCATCTTTATGAAATGCAAGAAAACTTTACAAACTCTTAACAAATTATTTTTTCTTAAAGACTTTGCCCTGTAGTTGCTCATTTTTTCTGCTCTGTCATCTTCCCAATTAAAACTTGACAACACTGTACAAGTAATCTCAGCGATCAGCTAGGAAACCATATATGTGTCTTTACTGTTTGAAAAAGCGGCCCAGGGCTTAGTGACATGCTTCATACTGGGGACATCTCTGAGTGTCTAACTGCAAAATGAGTGGTTCTATCTTCAATCCTGGTTCTCTTCATGAGTATTTTGAATTACTTCACCTCCTACTAATCTGTCCCCACTTTTGATAGGGAGTGCACTTTCCAATGATGCATAGCAATAGCACAGCACAGATAAGATACTGTCCTTGATTTTCTTAAGTTAAATTTCATGAGGAAATTAGGTCAACAGAATGTAATTACCTACACTGAAATCTCCTAAGGGCACTCACTGGGTAGATCTGTGCAAATGGCTGATTATTTTGATTTGCTTACAGAAGCAAAAAAAAAGTCAGAGGAGAAAATGGATCTGAATAGAGCAAAATTACTTCTTGTTTGACCTGAATTGAAACATGTAGTTGGTTCTGAGCTTTTATTCACAGCTTTTTACAAGAATTTTAAAAGTGTTTCCGTTTTGACTGAAAATCAGCTTGCAAACTGAACAATTCAGTGATGTCCAGCAGCCTCTTGAAAAGGGACTTTGAGGCTGATCAGAGCTAGCTCCTGGGGTTCCTTTCTCTTGGAACATAAAGTCTCGTTCGTACAACAGTGTTTCTTAGAGTGCTCATCCAGGAGGTGACTAAGCTTCACTTACTCTCTATCTATAAAGAGTACAGAGCCCGATACTTCCCTGTTTTCTTCTGCTCAGAGAGGCAGCTTCTCTTCCCAACTAGCCAGCAAACTGGGCTGCTTAACTGCTCTGTGCTGCTTAATGAAGCTGGAGGCTCAATAACTTCCAATCACAGATAATTGCTGATAAAACTAGTTTTGGTTCCACTTGAAAAGGCATCATTAGAAAGTACTTTGACTATCCAGGGGTATTTTAGTTTATGTGAATGTACAGGGTATCCAGGCCCATAGACTGAAATGGTTTCTGAAAAGGTATCCAATACCATATTTTTAGTAAAAATTACTTCAGTGGTATGTAACTTGCCTTGGACTTCTTCCAGTGAGGGGGCATGATGAATATCCCTGATGATTCCCTGAGGAATCCAGGACCCTGAGTTAAAATCTGTTTACGCATTTCTCTCCTAACCAATTGAATAAACAATACAGCTAATGGTGTAGGATTCCCCTTTCAGGTCTCAGCCAGCCGTGTGGGAGCCGTCCTCAGTCTCTGGTCTTTCGCTGGCCTGGTGACTCTTGGTTGCTTTGTTTTGTGGAGCTTTTGCTCTGCAGTGGAGCAGCTTCAGGCATCAGATAGAGTGTTCCCTGTCCTAGAGCTGCTCTGTGTGACACATTCAATAGCAGCAGGGGGGGAAGGTTTGGAGGATGATACCTTCTTCTGTGAGGAAAAAATGGAAACTCCACAGAGATGGACATAAGCTCTGTATATAGTACCTAATGGAAGTGATGGGGGTAAGCATCCCTTCAGAGAAACCACAAATAGAGTTCTAGCTGAGACTGAGATACCTAAGGAAATTCTACAGTTAATTGCAGCTGAATTCAGGCTTACAGTTTTAGACTTAGGCACCTGATCTTAGGATCTGATTTTCAGTGTTTTTTCAAGTCTCTCTATGTAAAAGATGATCACATTAATTCTTATCTTCAGAATTGGTACTTGATTAAATATATTAAAAACTGCATTGCTTATGTTGTGATACTGGAGTAGATACCAGAATAGAAGGCAGATTCAATTCAGCGTGCGCTCTGCTTTTGCATGTCATTTTTGAAATGTAATTCTGAATGGAAATATAAATCACATTTTATAAAATGATGAAAAAATGAATTTAAGAATGTAATGTGCTTCCCGTTACCTATACTCTGTGATATTGCTGATCTATTGCTATGGAAATGGGCACTGTGGGCTTCTTGGAGAGTTCATGTATTCCACAAATAATCCTTCCAAATCTTGCAGAAGCCAGTGACCACTTCAGCTTTCCAGTGCCGTGTGTAAGATATCCAAGAAAGACATACTAAACTACTTCTCTTCTTTCCACAGGCTGTTTTTCTGGGGACAATGACCACTTTCTGGCAATTCATCAGCTAAAGACCGGGAAACCTATGTTTATTTATCACCATGTGCAAAGTTTGGAAAAAAGTCTGGACACAGATAGTTACAAGAATTCCAAGCAGAAGTTTCATTCTTCTTCCCACACCAAAATAAGACAGCTGCACCCTGCAGTAATTGTTAAATCAGCATTCCCCAGACCTGCTTACGACCCGTCATCCCTCAATCTGTTAGCTATGACTGGCCAAGATCCGGAAGTGGAAAATCTCCCCATCCCTGCAACTAACATAATTGTTGTGGTAAGTGGCTTTTTCTATGTGCTGGTATTTTTATGAATAAATATACCTACAAACAGAGATAAAGATTTTAATGTGGAATATCTGAAATTCACATTGCACTGGCTGGCATCTGAATCTTGTAGCTCTACTTCCCATTGGAGCAGAGTCCCTGTTCATGTAACTTTTACCATGATCAACCTGCAGTCCAGTCTAACAATGCAGGATACAGCTTCTCTCTGGGTTGAAACCCCTTATCTTTGCCTCAAAGATACCTTTGCCTTTACTCCTCTTGTCTTGACTGGTATATGTACTGCTTTTACTGAATGGGTTTTAAACTTACTCTGCACAGAGCACAAGAAGCTGTGCCTCAGGGAACAGTCTTACAGAGACAGGGAGATTTTAAAAGGGTGACCCAAAGGTCTTCCTTCCACTTCCATTTCTCCTGTGTTCCATCATTATTCTTATGCAGCTGTTTGAAGACAAAAAAGGAAGGAGAACTGGGGTTCGGTTGATGTGAGCCATATGTGCTCTTTCTGGGAGATGCAGCCTGGGAGACCTTCCTTGTTCTGTCACCTACGTGAGGCGAACTTGCTCATTCTCAGCAGAGTGATGGCAATAGTCCCTCCTGCCAGGACAGGGGGCATTTGCCAGGTTCACGCTGCCCACAGGAGCACAGAGTACACAGGGCAGGCTCTACATTCCATGCGTGTCCTTCTGCCTCGTTCCAGGACTCTGTAGGGCTGCTGGGTTATGGAGGACTGCAGGTGGTTTATCCTTCTCCATCCTAAAGGGAAGGACAGTTCCCTTTCACAAGGCTCATCCACTCATTAGGGTGAACTAATTCAGGTTAACTTGAAACCATGTGACTAACTACAATCACCACTCATTTACCTAATTCTCTATAAACAAAAGATGCTAGATTGGAAAAGAATAGCCTTTGCAAGCAGAGACTGGAGTCAGAGTGTGTGGCACTGGGGCACGTTAGTACACAAAGTGTTGCAGAATAGGCAGTTCCTCAGACCCTCAGTACCTCGATGGGGCTGTGCTGATGAATCCACCACGTAGCTGCTTGCAGGCCACTGAGGTAGCTGCAGTGCAATAAGGGCTAGAGACAGGGATAAGAATACAGGGCGGGGGGGACTAGATGATCAGTATAACCAGCAGACTAGATTGAGCAGTATGCAAGTTTGCTACCGTAAAAGATATGAGTGCAGAAAAGGGGTCTGACAACGTTGCTTTGTTGAGGACATGTCAGCTAAGGACGTGTCAATGCAGCCCCAACACAGCATGTGAGGGTATGTTTATAGCCCAAGCCAACCTCAGCCAGCAGGGCTCTAGTAAAGCCTACCTGCAAACCAAAAGTACCCGCTTTCTCTCTCCAGAGTAGATACTGTTTCACCTTCTGTGAAAGTGAAATCTCTCTGTCAGTGCTTTTAAAGGTAGAAGTGCATGAAATTCTGCATATGCATTTTCATTAAATGACTCTGTGACCTTTGCACATTTTTTCCTAAAGCCACAGTCCTCCACTTTGAATGGCAGAACCTTGCAGAATATTCTTGGGGTACTCTGGTTTGGCTGGCTCTGTGCCTGCATTAAAACTTAATTTCAATTGGCAGTCACATAAAAACAGATCTATTAAATCTACATTAAGTTCTCATTAAGTGACCACAGTCTGAAGCTTCTCTACTGCATTTCCATGATGGAAGAATCTGCTGCTGCTCAGAGGCCTTCAGTTCTGGCTGAGGACCTTATGTGATCTAGTGTCCGGCCTCGGCAGCGTGAGCTGAGTGTGGCACGAAGCTGCTGGGTGGGATCCTCAGCTCTCTCTGGGCTTGTCCAAGGACAGCATTTTTGATTTGGTTTTAATGTCATCTTTTTATAAAAAGCCTTTCGGAAAGCATATGGTTTAATGCGCTTTTAATGCAAAGTGCTGAGGGAGTTGAACAGCTCAGTGGACTAATTCCCCAATACAAATTGCTGAAAGTGCCTTCGTCCAAAGGGCACCTGTCCCACAGCAGGGCAGCTGCCCTTACCCAAGCCTAGCTCTGCTCGGGCCAGGCCTTGGCACTTCTGCTTTTTCTCCTCCCTCAGGAATTCCCTGTTATTAGATTGTAATGTTAATGTCATTGCAAAGGGGGTCTGTTTTGGTTTGAATGCAAGTATGTTTTCCCTCTCTATTCAGACCTAATGCCTGCTGCTTGTTGCTTCTTTCTCACGCTGATCATTTGGGGCAAGTGAGAGCGTTTGCTCTTTTGCCCCGGCTGACCCTTCTTGTTCCAGCCTTTAGCAATGCTGTTGGTTGTTCAACATGAAAGGGCAATTGCTAGTGTTAATGCTTTCTGTAATCCAGTTATGTGCCTAGTGCACACTGTGATTTACTATGAAAGCCTGCAAAAGAGGTTTTTTTTTTTTTTTTTTTTTAAATAAATCAGTGCTATGCTGTGCAGCTCTGCAGAGGGGAGGAAACCAAATTCAATCTAATTTTAGTGACTTGAGGCCTATTTGCTTTATGATGGGGGTGGAGAGGTTGGGTAAATGGATGCCTAATGTATAACAATTGCAAGGTTACATTTTGTGTTAAGGACTAGATGATCTAACAAGCTAAACATTGCCAATGTACCAAGAGTTCTGGGAAGACAAGAACTGTGTAGGTATAATTCTGTTTTGTGATTCTTTCTGCAAAGAACAATCTTACTGAACCTGGGGAAGTTGTAGCACTTGTTTCCCAAAGAGAGAAAGAAGCGATTTCTTCCTGGGCACTAAATTTTATAAAACTGAAGGCTTTCCACCACATTGCCCCTGATTAGGTGCTTGCCTTTTTCTTCTCTTTTCTCTTTTCTTTTTTCTTTTTCTTTTCCTTGTGGTTCAATGCTCATTGTTGGGAGAGTTACTATCCAGAGCTCGTAGAGGCATTTTGACTGCTGTACAATGCTGCACTGTTTAGCCATATATTCTCTTTAGCTGTCTGTCAAAATGACATGAGGCCAATTCATCTAAAAATCATTTGATTAACATAGAGAATTACTTTTTAGTTTTTTTCCTATTTGTAGGGGTTTATTTTGGACCTTAGAAACTATATACACATTAAACTCATTAAGAGAGCTAGTAGTGAAATTAACAGTTTCAGAAATTAACAGTCCCAGAGCTATACAGTAGTCTGAGATTGAGCAGATCTGTGTAATTTTGTTTTTCACCAATGTAACTGAACTGAGGTAATTTAATTAGATTTTTTTTCTTGGCTACTGAAATGCACAGACAAACACACAAAGCTTCCTTTTGCCTTTTCCATGGCTTTTTGTGTAAACCTAAATTCCTCCAAGCTGAAGCTTTCTGCCATACCACTATGTCCATTTTGTCATCAGTGTTTGAGCCTTCTATACTAAAGCAAATTGAAAATAGGAAGAGCTGCAGGTTGCTAGCGTTTTAAGGTGGGATTCAGTGGAAAAAATAAATCACATAAATATTTCTTTCTACGGGTAGCCTGCACATGTGAGTTAGTTATTCAAGCTTCAGTACAGGCAGTGGAGTCAATATCTAGTTAACAGGATCTGCAAAGCCTAGAGAGTTATTAAATTCACTGGACGCTCGGATTATGTCTTTACAAATAAATGAGCAGTGCTGAGGAGTGTTTTCAGGCACTAGAACTTGATCATCTATTAAATTGTTGACTTTGAGTCTTTGTAGAGTCTTTGACATAGTTTTGGATCAGGTTGACTAGCACTTCCCTGAACAATTTTTGCATAATTAGAGAGCACATATAGGTCAGGGACCATTTCCAGTAGTCAAACTGCATGATATTATCCCCTGTTGCAGATTCCAGAATCTAATAGTATGGCCACAAGCCACTTCCATGTCAGTTCAGTCAGTGCCAAAGACCAGGCCTGGACACACTTAATTCACAAGTATGACATAGCCTTGACTTCTGGCTCATGCGAGCTGAATATTGTAAGATGAGCTGGCCTGACAGAGAAGACTTCCTCTCACGACAGCGGGTACACAGACATCTCGTGTACACTTCTGTCCATCTATGTGTATATATTCATGGGTGTGCATGTATATAAATATATACAGAGCTGGAGGTTTATTTCTGTGTGTTTGCTTGCATATGCATATAGCTGTAGTGCCCTCTTTATCTGGAGCTGATTCCAGCTGACTCACAGATATTTTCTTGAGATAATGTGGAAATCTTCTCATCAAATCATAGCTCAGGTAGGTAGGGCTGCTTCTAGGTGGCTTTGGGTAGCTGAAATCCTTCCAGTCGTGAGCTGCTTTCACACTTACATCAAGTTCATCCCACAAGTACCTCTACATCCTCTTGTCTGACTTCCCTGGCTTTACATACTTGGTTTAGAGAAGATGCAGTTCTTGCTTGCTCATTGATAGAGCCTTACACATACATGTTTCTCCCTCCATCAGCTCCCCATTTCCTGCTGCATCAGGTTTAAGTATCAGTATCAAGGTCCAGATCTAATTCAGATGCCGAGGTGGGATGGATGATGGTTAGGTAATCTTCTTAGTAAGGAGCAAGCAGAATTTCTGAAAGCAAGTGGTAAATTATCATTATCTGCTCTCCCTCATCTGATGTTTAACAACTTATGCTGCATTTGGTACTCTAGTACCAAATATACTCTGTTGGACACTCTAATTCATAATAAGTACCCTAAGGCCACTCCATCTGTAGGCCTTGTGAAGAGGTGATCAGAATGTTTCTGAAAGTGTATTAAAATACAAAATATGGCAAAAATATGTTGTTACTCAGGACAGCAAGTATTCTCCAAGCTGGCAGGTCAGCCAGTACTGGGGAAAAGAGCCAAGCTAAGTGCCTGTGAAACGTAACAGAAAGTCAAATGTCATTTTTTGCCACTTAGCATATGAGGCCTGTTATCACTAGACTAAGAGAAGGCCTGGCACTGGGCCAAGCAGAGGAGGTATAAATAGGAAATCATATCTCTGCAGTGACTCCTCAAAGGAGCTTTTGGAGGAGTCAGATCTCCAAATGCAGCAAGGTATCAACTGTGTCC